CCAGGCATCTAGTCTATGAGTCAGACCAAAACAAGGTAAGTCGTGCCAGGCCCAAGCAGTCTGGCCTTAAACAGATGTCATCAAAATATAGGGTCTTAATTACCTTAAGTCTGTCAGGGACCTAAACTTAATGACCAGAAATCTTTAGGGCAGCACTTACTATCTGATCGCATTTTGGGAAGTGCTCTTGCTCTGTACTTGTTTGTGGTATTGGAGAAACCTGGGCTTCAGCAAAGAGTGTTGGTTTAAAGGCTGACCCAGCATGTGTCAGCTCTGGCTGTTATTTCCTGTGTTCTTTTACCTATTACAGGCTCATTCTACCTATTTTCCAAGCCAGTCATTGCCATCCTAAATCAAACACACACAAATGTATATGAAATTTTTTAGAGGAAGAGAGGCAGACACATTGACAGCTGACTGACTGAGACTCTGAATGCAAAGCCCTTACTGGCTGTCCTGAAACCACAGTGTAGACCAGCTCTGCCTCCAGCTCACAGAGACACACTGGCATGTCTGTCCCTACTGAGATTAAAGGTGTACACTGCCACTCCCAGCATCAAATATATTCTTAAAACTTACACTCTTTACATGGGGTTATACGCCAGCTTTTCTCTGGACCCTGTTAAAGTGGAAAATTGTCTGAGGTGCTTAGGTAATCAGGTTTTTACTAAGCATCTCACAGTAGTCTTTTTCTGAAAGCTGGATTTTAAAGACAGCATGGTTGGTTGGTTGGTTGGTTGTTGTTGTTTTTTTTTTTGTTTGTTTGTTTTTTGTTTTTTGTTTTCCTTCTCTTCTGTGTGGAACATCCATTAGGCTTCCAATGCTGCTGATTAGGGTTCCTGCTCAGCCTCACTTCAGCAGCCAGCTGTCGAGTCCTGAAGTGTGAGACATAAGAGCAGTCTCCTTTGAGGAGGCTTGTGCTGTTGGAGATGAGTGACTGAGCCTGTTTTGGATGCAGCTCATCTTGTTAGAGTGAAGGAGGTGAGCTGAGGATCAGCCCTGGAGAGTTCACTGTTCCTGTTAGCCCTCTGTATGGTGCCTTCTGGAGCATCAATCGGTTCCTGGCCATCTGCCACCCATATCTAGCAACTGCCCCATAGTTAACTCCAAAAGGAGTGTTTGCTACCCAGGCAACAGATTTGCATTTCTTTTCACTTTGGACTCTTTTTTTTTTTTTTTTTTTTTTTTCCCATCTGTAGCTCAGGCTAGCCTTAAACAGGCTAGCCTTGAACAACTCTTCTGTCTTGCTTTCTAAGAACAGAGGGCAGACCAGGGCCTCAGTCATATTAGGCAAGCATTTTACCACTAAGCTATATCCCCAGCTCACTGTGAGTAACTTTCTTGATGATGAAAAAAAGATGCTGGAGTGTGTGTGTGTAGTAAGGATAGGGGAATAACAGTTGGGTTTGCATGTAGAGGGAACTAGAATATTAAGTTACTATAGTCTCAAGTTACTCTTATTTTATAGCAATTTTTCTGAATTTGGAATGGCAAGTATATATATGGCCTCAATTCACTGTTTCCTGTGATTTCAGGATGGCAAGCTTACCAAGGAGGAAATTGTCGACAAGTACGATTTATTTGTGGGCAGCCAGGCCACAGATTTTGGGGAGGCCTTAGTGCGACATGATGAGTTCTAAGCTGCAGACAGAGGAACCTACATTTCTTCAAAAGTAATTTATTTTTACAGCTCTGGTTTCACATGAAATTGTTTGCGCTACTGAGACTGTTATTACAAACTTTTTAAGACATGAAAAGGCATATTGAGGTAATGAAAACCATGCTGTCCCCATTCCTCCTCCCCTCTGAGGGACTGGAGGGGACCCGTGCTTCTGAGGGACAGCCCTGATTAGTACACTTGTGTTTGTAGGTTTACACTTTATATGATGTATAACGTGGTGTGTTTATTTTTGTATTGTTCTCTGGTTGGGAGTATAACATGAAGGATCAAGATCCTCAACCCACACTTGTAGGCAAACATTAGCCCTGTACTCTTTCTCAACCCCTTACCACATAGTCTTCTTTTTGTATAATTCTCACTTAACTAATTTTTTTAAAAGCCTGAGATCAAAAGAAATGTTCAGGAGAGAGAAAAAAAGGAAAACATGTACTCCATGGTTTATGTTTAGAGAGAAAATGCTTTATCTTTCCTGTTGAAAAGCTCCATTTTACAAGTGGCCGTTCAGTTGTCTCAGACCCAGCCACTGAGCCTGCCGTTGTCTGGGCGAGGTTAGATCCCGATGCTGTAAGACAGCTCGACGCAACTTGACTTCATTCTTTCCCCCCTTTAAGACTAGCTGTTTGCTAATTTTGCCAAGCACAGCTGTGGTGGGAAGAATTAGGGCCAGTCTTGAAAAATGAATCGAGTGGTGTGTATGATCTCTTCACAGTGCTATTTCTAGCTCTTTATAGAGCTGTCTCCAACTAGAAACAGCTGGAAAAACGAAAGGAAAAAAGTGTGTATGGGGCATGCATCTTATTCTGATTGTGTACTATTAAAATCACTGTCAGGCCCCTTCAGCCCCTTCCTAGGATTTAATCTTGGTTTTACTGCAGTTAAAGTTGACTTTTTTCCAATCATGTCACTGAAAGTGCCTTTAACAGGAAAAATAATTACTGAATGAGAATTTGTTTAAAAAGCGACAGGATGAATGGTTGGGACCCTTCCATGAAAGCATTGAACCTCCTGATGCAATGGGGAGTTTTCCCTTCTTTCTCTCTTGTGAACAATGGCTAAATAGCAGTATTAGTTACAAGCTCGGTTGCAGTGCTCCTATCTGGGGGCTGGTTTCTATAAAGACCTCGTGCTGCTGATTTGACCAGGGATCCTCATACCTCAGAACGCAAACCACTCTCTGTCAGGCCTCTGCTTACCAGGGCTTGAGCTCTGACTTAAGGATGGAAGGACACACAGAGGGGGCTCTTTGGTTTGAGGACCACTGCTCACCCTTTCTGTCTTTAACCCATCACATCCCATTTTGTCATCTGCCTTTCTCTCTGACACTAAAAGATGGGGTAGGTAGGAAGACCGTGGATCACCAGGTTGCCGTCCTTAGCAAAAACCCCATCTGTTGCCAACTCCATTTACCCATATTTTGTGCAACCTAGTATTTTGGTCTCTTATTACGGGCCTCTTAAGAATTATTGTATTCCAAATCTTTAACCCTCAGGTTACTAAGATAAATATATGTATGTATAATCTTTATTATTTCCTATATCTGAATAATACATTCAGGTGGTGCTGGGTGATGGTCATATCTGAACCTAGACCTACCCTTTGGTCTTCCACAATCCTGTTGAGGTAGGCTGCTTGGTGTGGTAAAGAGCCAGGTGTGGTGTAACTTCACCCCAGCCATCGCAGCAAGCTCTTGATAGCAGATACACTCGAAGTTTTAACCCCAGGATAGGAGTGATGAACATTCTCTGCCTTCCAGATCCTCAACTCTTTATTGTTAAGGAGACCAGAGATAATTAATGCCACCAGCCCTGGCTTAGAAAGGGTGCTGCATCATACACTGTGTGGCAAGAGAGCCTTACAGCTCGTTCGGTGCACAGAGCCTAACACTGATGTGAATGTCACACACTTAACCAGCAAGCTTAGTGTGCTGTGATGGCATATTCTGGACATGGGATGCTCAGCAGCAAGAATTGCTCTCATCTCCATGTGCCCCACATAGTGTTGGGGTTTGGGTTTGGGTTTCTGGTTTAAATCAAGTCTGAAGCAGCGAGCTGTGGCTGCATTGTCCATAAGGTGTGCCCTGTGAATGCTAAGCTCTCTTGAATTTGAGTATTGATTCTTTTTTATAGAGTGTAAACCAAGTTTTATATTCTGTAATGCAAACAGGTACCTATCTGTTTCTGAATAAAACTGTTTACATTCATCAGGGGCGTATCTGTCTTTCATTGTCTTGGAAATGGGATTGTGTTGCAGGCTAGCCAAGGCTACGTGGGGAGACTCTGTCTCAAGAAACTATGAAGGGGCTGGAGAGACGGCACAACGGTGAAGAGCCCTGGCTGCTCTTCCAGGGGACGACCCAAGTTAAATTCCCTGCGCCCACACAATGACTCACAACTGTCTGTAGCTCTATTTGCAGGGGATCTCACATTTCACACAGACATACATGCAGGGAAACACACACCAGTGCACATGAGGTAGAATAAGAAAGAAGGAAGGAAACCAGGAAGGAAGAAATGGGATCGTGGCTTAGGGTTCTGTGTTGTAAAATGTCAAAGAAAAGGAATTCTCCCAGAAGGTCTGCCATCTCTCCCCGCCAGACTGAGAGAGAGCTGCCTTCTCCCTTAGTCCTTTCCTATTCCTGGGGTTTCTGGTTGCTTCTCACAGCTGTGACCTTCCTGCCCTCCAGTGCATCATTACCTGAGACTGGCTCCCAATATACCTGATCACACGCTTGTCTTGGTTTTCATTTCACAGGGGCTCATTTTCCAGGAGCAGCAGGTGTAGGGAGAGCGTAAGGTAACATGTTTTTAGCACTTGGGTTTGGTTTATAAATGGTACTGAGACATGCAAATTCATTTCACGGGATTAAACCACTAACTTTAATCAGTGCACAGCTTTAAGTGGATACATTCATTTAGCCAAGTGAAGAGGAGAACACCTAGAATACTTAGGTTTGAGGTGAGTGTGCTGAGGCAGCTCTGGCCATAGCAGCAACCTAGGCTGCAGCGACTGGCAGGGACCGAATAGGGAAGTTCTTTTAAGTTCACTATAGGTGCGGGTGTTCGCTGCCTTTTCTCTCCATTTCTCTCCTGTCACTTATTCTAACACAGGATATATCATCTCAGATCTAGCAAAGGAAGAAGAAAAATGACCGAAAAGGAAAGTGTTACCCATACACCAAAAACAGTCCTTTCTCTTACAGTTCTCTGGGGATGAGGGTGCCACTTAGGAGTAGTAACTGACTGTTGAAATGGTCCATGTGGAAACAGACTCCTAGGAGTCCCATTACTCCTCTCCCATCCTTGCCCGGTGTTTGGGTTTTAATGTGGCGTTCTGCTTGCTGCCAGGGCCAATTGAAGGTCCTTAGTGGGGGCCAACTTTTCTAGATGAGACAGCAGAAACTTCTGTTTTCTGAGAGCCAGATATGTTGGATTCATCTGTCATGGGCTTCCTGCACACCATCTCCAGGATGCAGGCCCGGAACTGGAAAGAAAGATGCGTGTGTGTCATCCTTGCCCTGAAAATACTTCAACTCCACTTTTAACTGCTTGCTCTCGCAGGCTAGACTTCAGCAAGGTTGGATTAAGAATTTGCAGAAGGCCAGACATACATGGCGTTGCACACCTTTAACTCCAGCGCTTGGGGACAGAGGCAGGTCAGCCTAGTTCCCATAGGAGTTCCAGGACAGCTAGGGCTACACAGTTTGACCCTATCTTAAAAGGGAGGGGGGGGGATGTAAAAAGCTAGAAGTCTGCTTATTGGCGCTATTTCTTCTTCGCCAAAACAGAAATTAAGGATGTATAACTCAGTACTGAGTATTTGCCTAGCATGTGAAGTGCCCTGTGTTCAATCCCTAACATTGCTAAAAGATTTCCAACCCACTCTTTAGAACAACTCCATTTTTCTGCCTCAAGGCCAAGCCTAGCTTCTAGTATTTTAGAAATCACATTCTCCATACATGTGTCTACCATGAACTTCCTGGCTTGCTTGGACTTTGTGTAGCTTTCCTCATCGTTAAGGCCTGTGTAGTGTCCAGGGTGCTGAGTTAAAACGTCAGTAGGGTCAAGAGAACCAGGACCTCATAGGAATGCCATGACAGCTTTACCTGCTTATTCATGTAGCAGTAGATAATGGGATTGTAGACACATGAGCTCTTGGAGAAGAAGGCAGGGATGGTGACGAGCCTTAAGTCCAGCCCGTGGTTGCGATTGTTGACCATGTACATGGCCAGGGCAGCATAGGGCACGTAGCAGAGACAGAAAGATGCCACCATCACCACCACCATGAGGCTCACCTCCCGTTCTGCCTTCTGGGTCGTAGCTGACTCTTGCTGCTGAGCTGCCACCTGGGATTGAGCACAGGGGTCGTGTCCCTCTCACTTCCAGCCTCAACTCTCAGATCTCTGAACCCTTTTGTGTAGGGGAAAATCTCTCGCTGGCTCTTATGGCTGAGTTTGGCTTTACCTTGAGGGAGACATCATGGAGGTGGATCTCAGCTCTTTTGGCATTAGGAAAGATCACAGCCTCAGTCCCTTCTTGTGTTCCTTTCCCTACTGGCTCTTGTGCTGGGGACGGAGCCAGTGCCTCACACCTGCTATGCAAGTGTTCCTCTGAGTGCTAACTCCACAGTCTCCCATTCCTTTACATGTCCCCTTCCCCGCCCCTGCTAGCTCCTGATACTCCTGTCTTGCCATGGATATTCCAGACATGTCCTGGGGCAGATACACATGCTCCCTGTCCTGGAGCCTCCTGGTTTACTCCTACCCTGACCCTCTCAGAAGCCACTCACAGCTCTGAGAGTCCTCAGCAACTGCGAGTAGGAGAAGCAGATGAGGGAAAGAGGCACGATGAAGCAGAACAGGAAGAGGAACCAGGTGTAGGACTCGCTTCGATACTTGGTGCCTACTGTATACCAGTCCGGGCCACAGGAGCACTGCAGGCCCTCCGGGATGAACCTGAAAAGGATCAAGCATTCACACTGGACTCACCGTCAGAGCTAGCAGGGTGGGAACTGGGATTCCTGGCTTAGCCTCTCCAGCTGGAAGAATGCCAAAGGACTATAGTAATTCTAGCTGCAGAGTAAACAAACAAACAAAAAGCTGCCCTTTTTCCTGACTGTACCCAGCTCACATCAAAGAAAAGGTTAGAAAAGGTTATCCCCAATCTCTCTTCCCACATCAGACCACTGCCCTACACTCTCACCTGCTCCAGCCGAAGAAGGGTGGGATGGACACGCCCACACCTAGGACCCACGTGACCAGGACCACTATCAGTGCGTGCTTGGAGTTGAAGCGGACGTTGCCAAAGGGCTTACAGATGACAATATAGCGCTCAAAAGCCAGGAAAGCCAACGACCATCCTGTCACTAGACCTGCGGCAAATGTGAAACAAATAGGGTAGACAGCCTCCTCCCCCAGCCTGGAGCGGAGTACAGACGTAACTGAGCAAGTCCAGAGAGTTGGGATGGAGTTTAATGCTCACACATCCTGCTTAGGTCAAACTACTCAGGGTAATTAAGGGCCCGCTCCAGTCCAAACGTCTGGCTCCCAGTTCCAATCCCAGAGCAACATCCTTTGCCTCTCCCTGGCTCCTGTTGCCTGCAGTACCTGCGACAGAGCCCAAGAAGGCCTCCAGAGCACACACATGGCGGCCAAAGAGGAAGTATCCGTGACAGCTGGCGATGAAGACAGTGAAGACGGAGAAGCTGCAGAAGAGGAAGCCCCCGAGGGATATATTGACTAGAATGTAGTTGAGGGGCTGCCGCAACTTTTTGTAATGCAGTGTGGCCACCAGCACCGTGGCGTTGAGTGGGACCCCTGCAAAGAAGACAAATCCCATGAAGGCTGCCTGGAGGCGGAAGGCCCAGACAGGAGCAATGTGGTACTGAGGCCCATCCCAGGGCCCCACCGAGGAGATATTCTCAAACAGATAGAACTCGTCCTCTCCTGACATCCTGTGCTTAGGATGCCCTCACCACCGCCTCCAGCCCCTCTCAGAGATGAGTCTTCTGCTGGTGTCCCTCCCCACGGCTCCCTCCTTTAAAGACATAGAGGGACTGAATGATCCTAAGCCTCCCAAAAGATGAAGTCCAGGATTAGAGATCACTCTGTCCCCTCCTAAACCTCTCGTGATCCCAAAGCTCATTGTGGCCTTCTGAGGATAAAAGATTGGGGTCAGAGGACCTGGATATGTAAGGCTAGGTGCTGAGGTGGGTCACCATTGGTTTCTGTGGCCTGGAAGATGCTGACCTACATCCACTGTGAATGCTGCCACGAACCTACTTTGGCTTCAGGCCCCTGTGCACCTCACCTGACCCTTTGTGGATGGTGTCAGTCTGAGTGTCCCTATCCAGAGAGGCTGGGAATTGGCCTCAGGAAACAGGAAGGGAATGAGAGGGGGCACTCTTGGGAGCGTTTTTTAAAAAATTTATGTGCATCGATGTTTTGCCTGCATGTGTGTCTGTGTGAGGGTGTGCAATTCCCTGGAACTGGAGTTACAGAGAGTTGTGAGCCGCCATGTGGGTGCTGGGAATTGAGCCCGGGCTAATGCTCTTAGCCACTGAGCCATCTCTGTAGTCCACTTTGGAAGCATTTTAAACATCCATCATGGAACGTTACAGAAGCAGCTCCAAAGGACTAGTGAAATTCCAGCTGCCTTGGGGTCCAGGGTGCCTGAGCCACTTCGGTGTCACTTGAGCCTCTGCTGGGAGATGGTCCTACCTGGACCTCCAGGCTGCTTCTAACAGGAGAGAATGAGACTTCTGGATAAATCGGGTTCACTGTTAGGTGATGGACACCGAGTCAGCCTCACACAGAAAACGGAGAAGTGAAAATGTGTGGGGCCACGGTCTCCCAAAGCCCACCTCCAGTGACACACTTCCTCCAGCAAGGGTCTTGAAGCACCATTGCCACCCCAGCCCACCTCCAGCCACTGCCGTCATCACCTGTAGACCAAGTGTTCAAATACGGGGTGAGCCTGTGGGGGCCATTTCTCATTGAAACAGCAAACTAAAACGTGAGTGCTGGGAAATGCTCTTCTGTATGTGTTTCACTTACTGGTTAATAAAACACTGATTGGCCAGACAGGAAGTGACGTAGCTGGGCAGAATCAGGATGTAAGCCGGGACAAACAGGAAATCGCTGTCTGCAAAGACGCTGAGCAGTCATTATGTAGCAGGCAAAAGAGTTGCGGGCAGGTCTGGCATTCCCCAGTAAGATGAGACCACCTGGAAATACATGGATTAGTAGTTATGGGTTAATAATGAAGACAGCTAGCCAATAAGAAACCCAAGCCAACAGCTTTATAACTAATATGATGTCCGTGTGTTTCTTTGGGGCCCAGAAGGGTGGCAGGACCTGCCGGACCAGAAAGCTCACTACATATGAGGGCTAGAAAGATGGCCCAGTGAAGAAGGAACACTTGCTACTCTTACAAAACAAAAAAAAACTCTAGGTTTGGTTCTCAGCACCCACATGGTGACTTACGACTTACTCCAGTTCAAGGAGATCCAGCACCCTCTTTTGGCTCCCACAGGCACCAATCATGCACACAACATTCATACACATGAATGAAACATGGTTTCTCTGAAGCTTTGGAGCCTGTCCTAGAACTTGCTCTGTAGACGAGGCTGGGCTCAGCAAGATCTGCCTGCCTCTGCCTCCCCAGTGCTGGGATTAAAGGCGTGTGCCACCACTGCCCAGCTAAAATAGGATTTAAAAAAGAAAAAAAAGAAGAAGTTTAGACACAGGAACCCTGCACACTGAACAATGCTCCTCCCAGACTATATGGGTCATTAAGTGAACATCTCAATACCAGGCATGAGATACCAAACCTACAAGTTACTGGTCAGGGAGTTCCCATGGGCCCTGGAAACAGCACGAACCATTGCCATTGCCCTTGTTCACCATAGCTAGGTTGTTAGGGTCCTATTGCTGAACACTCTGGTTGTAAGAGAACTCAAGCTGCCGGAACTCACCTGAAAACTTCTTCTCTGCGGGCTGGCTTTTATAGTGACAGCAGGTACTGTACACGCCAGATTTATACAGGGGTGAACCCTAAAAGCTATGATACCCACGTATCAGGCAAAGGTTACACGGGTAGCAAATCGCTTCATGATTGGACTTTAGGCCTGGCACACAGGCAGTACAATACAGATTTACAGTACAGTGCCTGGTACTGTCAATCTCTTTTTACAAGATTGTAAAAAGCACGAAGCTTGGGAGGTGTTGGTGTACATGTTGTTAAACTGCCTCTTAGATAGTTAAACTTATACACGTAGGTTAGAGCTGCTCTCAACCTTAGCCTGGGAAGCTTCTTCCTCAATGGGGAGCAGTTAATGAAGAGCCTCATCTGGTCAAAGGGGCCGAGTAAGTGACTGTTGAGTGCTCAGCCTAAATGACTGGAGTGTCTATATCCTCTCTCTCTCTCTCTCTCTCTCTCTCTCTCTCTCACACACACACACACACACACACACACACACACACACACACACACACACACAAGCTCAGGGACCATCACAGAAGAGAAATCAGGAAGAACGGAAGAGGCAGGGGGTGTGGAGGAGTGTTCTGGAACGTGGTCTTCTGGACATGGCATGCCCTTTGCTCTCACCCAGTCACCGCTGCTATGGTTACCTGCACAAGCCCCAGCCAATGAGAGCATCAGCACTGCAGCCGGCAGCACTGGTTGGGCCCTGTGGGTTACAAAACACAAAAACTAAAAGGAATGGGCAGGAAAGTGGGAGGGAGACATATTGAGGGGTGTTGGGGAGAGTGGGAGAGGAGAGTTGGGTCCTGGGACTCTGAATTCAGGTCCTCATGCTGGGGCAGCAGCCATTCACCCATAGAGCCATCTTTTCCTTCTTGTACACTCGGAGAAGTGTGAAAGTGGCTCTCACAGGCCCTGCTACACCAGTCACCCAGGATGAAACCTACGGCATTGGCCAGCCTCCACCTCTCCATTCCTCTAGGCCCACTAGCCTATTCTAATACATATGGTGTGTGTGTGCGTGTGTGTGCGTGCGTGTGCGTGTGTGTGCGTGTGTGCGTGTGCGTGTGTGTGCGTGCGTGTGTGTGCGTGTGTGTGCGTGCGTGTGTGTGTATGCGTGTGTGTATGTGTGTGCGTGTGTGTGTGTGCGCGTGTGTGTGCGTGTGTGCGTGCGTGTGTGTGTGCGTGCGTGTGTGTGCGCGTGTATGCGTGTGTGTGTGCGTGCGTGTGTGTGTGCGTGTGCGTGTGTGCGTGCGTGTGTGTGTGCGTGTGCGTGTGTGCGTGCGTGTGTGTGTGCGTGTGCGTGTGCGTGTGTGCGTGCATGCGTGTGTGTGCGTGCGTGTGTGTGTATGTGTGTGTGTGCGTGTGTGTGTGCGTGTGTGTGTGCGTGCGTGTGTGTGTGTGTATGTGTGTGTGTGTGTGTGTTGTAGGGCTGGAGAGGTGGCTCGGTGTTTAAGAGTACATACTGCTCTTATAGAAGACCCAGCACCCACATAGAGTGATTCACATCTTCAGGAGATCACACATGCACGCACATACACACGTGCACGCACACACACACACACACACACACACACACACAACACGAGTCCTAAATACAATTAAGACAATAAATTACATTAAAAACCCTCTTTAAACCAAACTCAATACCGTATCCTAGCCTGGCCAGGATATTTGTTGAAGTCCCTTGAATCCTGAGTCAAAAGCTCTAGGAGACTAGACAGCCATTTTGGAAAGACTGACATTCCCATGTGCACACACGTTTACCTCATACAGATGCTCACCCACAGGTAGGACCCTGCAGAGATTACTAGAAAAATCTATCTGAGGGTCCAGAATCCACCTGAGGACCGAGCCAGAGGCCATATGGCAATTGCTGGACTAGCATTCCGAAAGTCAGCCTCTACTGCCTGCATAAGTTTCTGACTGCCATGGGTTCAAGACAGCCTTGGCTCTCTTACTTCTAATGTAAAGCTACATGGTAGACATCTCTTTGACCTCTCTGAAATCCAAATACCAGCTCAGACAGTCCCCTCCCACGGCAGAGGGTTTGGGAGGAACCCAGACCCAGTTATGATGTGACAGATGACCTAGTGAGGCTTAAGCTAAACAGTTACCACGAAAGCACACATTCTCACCAACACCAAGCAGAGGCATGCCTCTTCAGAGACCCTGAAGACATGTCTTGAGGGACAGATGGGAGATTCCAAGGAGAGGCTGTGGGGCAAAGGAGGAAGGAAGGTCATGATACAAAACTGGGAGCATCGTCTTTTGGCCTCTTCCTGGGCTCTCTAGAACGCCCTCACTCTTGGGAATACTTTCTCTTTCTTTTTTTTTTTTTTTTTTTACATCGTTTGTAGCGTGTATAAGTGTGCACATGTACACATGGGTGCCAGCAGAAGAGAGTGTCAGATCCCCTGGAGCTAGAGCTACAGGTAGCCAGATGTGAGCTACCCTATGTAGGTGCTAGGATCGAACTCTGGTCCTTTACCGGAGCAGCAAACTCAGACTGCAGAGCCCCTACTTTTCCTTTCTCGAAAAGCTGTCTCCATTTCTATTTCTAAATATGCTTTCCCTGACACTCGCATTTTCTCAGTTTCTCTGACCTCCATGGACAAGTCCTCATCCCTGGAGAAAAGAAGCCCCTCCCCTCCACTTGAGAGTAACTGGTACATTATAAATGCTTGGTGTAGGAAAGGGGGATATTTTCTCAACCATCTCAGGGGTTTTTCTTCTATTCTCTTTTAAGGGTTCACAGACACTTTGTTTGTTTGTTTGTTTTGTTTTGTTTTTTCCAGACAGGGTTTCTCTGTGTAGCTTCGTAGATCAGGCTGACCTCGAACTCACAGAGCTGCCTGCCTCTGCCTCCTGAGTGGTGGGAGTAAAGGTGTGTGCCACCACTGCCCAGCTGGTTCACAGACTCTTACTCCTAAGTAGATGTCTAGGAATATATGGGACCCCACAAGAAGCCATGAGTCAA